AATCCGCTTTTGTGATTCCCAGATCTTTCTGTTAAGCGGAAGATTGAGAAACGCCGGGAGAAAGTACTCCGACAGTGTGCTTCAGAGAAACACTTTTGTTCAATCCATGCCATCTTCAAAGCAGAAGAAATCCAAGAAAAATAAGAAAGAAGTGGTTGTGGTAGCAAAAAATGATGTAGTAAGTGCTGCACTGGTGCAAAATTCTAATGTTATGTACTTTCAAATTTCAATACTTATTAGGGGCTTAATTGCATTTGCATTTGTTCCTTCAGGATGATTCTGCCCCAGATTCTGGCTTTTATAACATCTGGGAAAATAAAGCTTTTTATCTTCCCCAACTTCTCGTAATGTTTATACTTTATAGTTTTTGTATTCTTACTATATTGCTAGTTTCAAGATTTTGTTTATAGTAAGTGTTGTCTATCTATCTCTTTTCAGCTGAATTTGATGTCAAAGCTGGAAAGGTAAATACCACATAACATATGCTACAGATTCTTTGACATAACGTTTTAGTTTGTTATTGCTAGAGGAATGAATAAGTGACTAACAGGTAACAAAAACTTTGGTTATTCTGGCAGTAGAAGTTGAACCTTCGGGATGCTCATTCAATCCCTCCTTTGAAAGCCATCAGGTACATACGGAAATATATATTTACTAGACTGCCGTTTCTAAATACTATTGAAATATATATATTTCTTAATCTAGGATTCCTTGGCCCAAGCTGTTGCTGAAGAAATGAAACAATACCAGAATGAGTTGGGACCTCAGCCTGTTCAACTAATTGTTGTTGGAGAAGTAATTGATGAAGAAGATGTGGGTTTCCATTCTTACAATCATCTGTGCAATTTTACTCACCTTATTGACTGCAGTACTTTAAAATTAAACATCTGTAATTGAACTTTGACAAAACCTGCTATTTTGTCGGAAGTACTTCATTGAAGCAGATGATGGAAGTGAAGATGAAACAAATGAGGAGAATTTAACTGAGAATGATGATGCATTAATTGAGAAATTTGGTTCCCGTGGGTTGAATTTGCTTTGCTCCTCTGAATTCTCATGTTGCCTCTTGTATGTGATTGTCCATTTTCTGTTTTTATAGGTTCCAAGCAGTTCTTGGCTCATTTTGCTTCCTGTGAGGGAGATGTGCTTTCTAATTCTTGGTTGCTTATATCACTTGCTGTGCCAAATATTTCTACTACATCTGGTCCATTATTTCCTTCAGCTTCCATTTTCTCAAGTTTTGTACTTTCTTCAACTAAATGGCTTTTATGCATCCTTGAATTCTTCTCCTCGTCAGATTCCATGGAACTTGGTGTTTTACATTCCTTTGCTCTGTCTTGACCTTCCTCCGAGAAACCTGTATTCTTTACAACATTTGTGCTCTCACGTTGGCCTTGGCCATCTAACAGATGATCTTGACTCCCGAGAAAATGGCTTTCATCTACAATATCTTCAATTGAATATCTTTCTTCAACATTGTTATCAACTGCGCCAGCTTCTGCCTTCTGATTGTATTGGTTGTTATCTACCTCATCATCAAATTCATCAGCTCTAGAGAAATTTTGGGATGAGTCAGAAATTTGGTTCCTAGCAAACAGCTCAGTTTCAGCTACCTCCTTTTCCACTCCAGCTCCATCATTTGCACCAGGAAGTTCCTCTGCTGGATTGAGATTAGAATTCTCTGGCTTTTGAATTCCCTTATAAATCTCTATTTATTTCATTCTGCTATGTCTCTTCAAATGAATGAAGCTGGATGTTGCCAATTCTATTCAAGGCTTCATTAGTATCTTCAGTTACACCATTGTTTTTAGCAGCTCCAGGTAACATTTTATCTGTTTCAACGACTTCATTCTCCCATACTTTCTCCTCAAGTAGCTGCAACTTTGCCAAATCTGCAATGATCATGATGCCAATTAAGTCTTCTTGAGCTTCTTCTTCCTCCTCCATTATTGCTGATGCATCAAAAACATCTTCTGTAGAGGAAACTTGTTCATAATCCAATGCGCATGAAACTTGGCTAAAGTTATCATTATGTGCACTATCTTCTTCAGAGTCTTCTTGCTCTACTCCATCAACCAAAATCTTCTTACTAGGACTGTTTACACTGTCATCCAAGCTGATCTTGGGTTCTTCTAATAAACCTTCAACACTGAAATGAAATTCACCGTCTATCTCCATGGGAGAATGGGCTTCATAGTCAAATTTTGAAGTGGAAAATTGTTCTTTGTCCCACTCCATGCTCATGACAAAGTTATCGTCTGTCTCAATTCTTGAATTACATTCTCCTTCAAAATCATAACCATTTTTAAGGCTCCCTATAGCTGATACTTCTCCAGCCAAAATTGGTAATGAATAATCATTTGCATCATTCTTCATTTTTCAATTAATTTCGTCAAAATCGATTTCAAAAGGTGGTGTGCCTTCAGATAGATTATCTAAAACTTGTTTACCATCTTCTCTTAGTGCTCCTCCATCAGTAGCTCTAGAAGAGAACTTGTTCTCTTCGGATTCTGTGGTGCTCTCCAAGTCCTTGTGTGTAGTTCCTTACAGATTTATTACTGGAAACAAAACCAAGCTTTAGAGTGGCTGAATTTCGTCAACCCAGATTCTTGTTATTTGAGTTCCAAGAACTCACTTAAGAACTCTCCTTCTTTGCCTCTGAGCTGTTGGTGGACTTCATGTAGTTGGGTGATCCACCAACCGCTTTGATCAAAGCCTGCTTCTTTGGGGTTACAACATGGAGTGGTGGTGGCTTCCCTGGTTGTGCCATGGTTTTGTTCAAAGGTGATGATCTTAATCCCTCCATATTTGAGAACTTTATTAATCTATACTTCTTCATTTTCTTCTTCAAATCTGG